CTGTGACCTAGGAGTTGAAATCCAAGATATCTGCAAGCATCAAGTTTGGACAGGATGGTGTAGAGATTTCTGGTTGGGGGTGAGAGCTGGGGGCAGGGATATAATTCCCTTTATGAAACAGAAAATTTTTGGAATGTTTACACATTTTTTTTGAAAAAGCAGAGAATTAAAAACTTTTGGAAAGAGATCCTGTAACAGTTTGTTCACCATGTCACAGCTAGCTCGAGCCTCCAAGAAACATCAATATTTAATATTCACCAGTACCTGAGGAACTACTAATCCCAAATCCTTCCTGTCTTCCTTCCCTCACTCCAGCTTCCCAGGAATACGTTTGACTCATAGAAACATTTTAGGGTGACAGTCCATTGGTCCAGCAAGACCACCTCTGACTAGTTGTGATGCAATTTCACTCGTTCTCCTCCAAACAAGGCAGGAAAAAACAAGAGAGAAATCCAGGATATTGGCAGAACTGTTATGAGGCAGCAGCGGCACATCCCCACATGAAGATGATTGCCAGAGAGAGGAATGTGTGTTCTCAGGATTTATGTCATGTGAAGTGTGACTTCATAGCCATTTAAGCATTGTCCTCCCAAAGCTAACAACAATCCGTTTATCCAAGAATGTAAATGCAAGTCTAACAATAGCCCTGACATACAGTCCACTAATATTGCAAGTGGGAGGCAACTGAGGCTGGTTTGGATTTCCAGCAAAACTTCCACATCTGGAACAGACCTTGGACTGCCAAAATTTGTTCCTCCCCTCTGATTTGCTTGCCTCTACCCAAGCGTTGGTTCTGCTTCAACAGCTTGACTTCAGTGCGTCCTTCATTTTCAAGTTCTGAAAAAGGACTTGGGGTCATAGTGTTCCCCTATTTCTGAATGCACTTCCCAGGGAAATTTACCTGGCCTTGTCTAGCCAGGTTTATAAACCAGCTTCACCATGTTAGCTGAAGAACCAGCAGCTGCATGAGGAGTTAGAACCCTGGGGTTTGTTGCAACCTAGCATATCAGAACCTTTAGCAGCTTGGTCAAGACATTCACGTACTCTATTATAATCCCTATTCCTTGCAGTGCTCTAATGTTTTTATTAAACTCCTGCATTTCTCTGTTTAACTTTTTCATTGTAATGGCATTTTTAAA